AGCATTCCGCCACCTTCAGGAGTGGCTGATAACATCTCTGCATTATAGCTAGAAAATGAGGTCCCAGAGAGGCCCATGGCCTCGCCCAAAGTCACCAAGCGAGTGACTGGGGCTTTGAACTCAAGTCTGATGCAGAGCTCACTTTCTCCCCACCTTCACCCTCCCTGTTTCCCTGGCACCCGACAGCACTCTGCACATTCAAATCTGCAGGCTGGAACGCACACCTGAGACCTTCAAAAAGCTGCTGCACTCTATCTTTGAGACAGACAGAGGGAAAATGTATTGGAGGTGGCCTTGAGATGTACCCTTGTACCAGGCGGAGCCAAGGGAGACTGCTCAGCCAAAACCTGCCCAGGGGTTCCACTGCCAACATGCAAATCTCTAGACTAAACCCTGAAAATCCTGTTTTAAAACAAATGCCCTCCAAAACAGAGACAGCTCCTCTTCAATCCCCATGGCTATTCGGATGCAGGAGGACCAAACTGGGGCTCCCAGCCTGGTGAAGCAGTGCCCTGCTCAGTGGTGCAAATGTTTGCTGTCCTCTTGTTCTTGGAAGAGATCAAAAGTTGTGGAGCATTTTTTCATATCTTTATTCACTTCTATAATTTCATCCTCTGAGAAGTGTGTGTTCATCTCAGATGCCCATTTCTGGATTGGGTTTTAAATTTTGGGGCCCGAATTTTTTTTAGTTCTTCATAAATTCTAGAGAGAAGACTTGTCTGAGTGCTTATTAGTTAAGATTCTTTCCAAATTTGTGGGTTGCCTTCTCACTTTGTTAGTAATTTCTTTTGATTTGCAAAAACTTCTCAATAAGAGCAGGTCCCAGTTGTTAATTCTTTCAAGTATTACCTGTGCAATTTGATTTTTGTTCATGAACCCTTTGCCTACCTATGTCTTCAAGAGTTCCTCCTACTTTCTCTTTCAGAAGATTTAGTGTTTCTGTTTTAATGTTTAGATCTTTAATCCACTTTGACTTTAGCTTAGCGCATGGTGATAGACCTGGGTCAAGTTAATTCACACACCTACAATATTTCAATGGCAGTGCAATACCCGTCTCTGACAAAACTAAACAAAAAAGGGGATATAAATGAAGGACCATTTTGTATCTGTATACACAAAATAGTTAGGATAGATATACAGCTACTTTCTCTTAATTCAATGAGAAGAAAGAATTGTACTAATAGTGTTTGGACAGGATACCATGTCTGCATCTTGTACCATGAATAACTACTATGAAGACAACAATATGCAATGTATTAATTATTGAAACTATCCTACTAACATGTTTTGAAACTGTCTCACTGCTACTTCTCAATAAAATTAAAAACAACAATTGTGGCAGGTGGCAGCAGCACCCATGTCACTGGCCCAAGCAGTGTAGGCTCTCTCCTCAAAGAAAGAAACCACTGGTTTGTGGCGAGCAGAGAGCACTAGAGGAGGCTGACTTGATGAGGTGGTTGAGAAAATAGTGCTGGGGACTTAAGACCAGATATAGATTGCATAGCCTAAGGCTGGCAAGGAGTTGGGCTCTGCATGAGAAGGTTCAAGACTCCCTGAGATTGCTCAGGCCAGCAAAATAGCCAAGCCCATAAATCACTTATCAACTGAAAGAGCGAGTGGACCCTGAAGGCAGAGACCTGGCTGGCTGCGTCTCTTGGAGCCTGTGGCTCAAGCTTGCATCCCGTGGGGAATGCGGGCTTCTCCTGATAAGTCTGCCCACGTCTGCACCCAGGAGGTGATTATTACTGGATCCTCTGAATCGGGGTGTAGGGCTTGAGGGTAGCTGCAGAACATACTGCCTGCTGGGAGGTTGCCAAAGCCTGTGCCTCTGTTTCCATACACACTTTTCTTCTCCAGTTCTCCCGAATTGAGGTATCCTTGGGTCACTGAACAATCAGAGCAGCCCTCGTTCTCTCCTAGGGAGAGCAGCCCTGAGCTCCCTTGGGATGAGATAAGGCTGTTTATCACTAAGTCATTACCTGTTTTAGGGGGCAGCCAGTTCTGTCCTCAGAGTCGCCTGTGATTCTGGCAGAGTATGTGTGCAAACCCTGGTGGCGAATTAATGGCGTGGAGGCCCGGGAGGGGAGATGGAATGGAGGACGCTGGCGAGCTCCTTTCGGGGACTTCTTGCAACTGAGAACTCGCTGCCCAGCCTTAACTGTCTACCATGGACTCCCAGGGAGGCTCCACAGCCCCACAAGCATGGGCACTTAGAGAAACTGAGGCCCAAAGTGATTCAGTGACTGGCTTGGTATCTCAGAGTGACCCCTTTTAAGAGCTCCCAGTTATTCCAAGGCACATCGAAGGGTGCCTCCGCCTGCAATTAATATGTCGGGAGCTGTGAATGAAAGTAGCCTGACTGCAGCATCACTGGTGGCCAAGGTTGGGTGGGATAAGGAAAACAGGGTGGCTGTTCTACTACAACCAGGAGAAGAAAGGTAGCACGGCTGTCGAGGTGGGGCCAGCGGACCTGGGCGGGGGCAGCCCAAAGCCAGGCCCACCTGCACCCCCCTGGCCCTGGTTGTGGGGGCTTCACACGGACACAGCCTTGGGCCTTGTTTCTCTGATAAGCCCGCCATGCCACAGAGATCACTGGCCTGGGAGTTGGGGGCCCTGGCCCTCATATTTGTCCTGAACCTTTGTTTTTTAATCTGCGGTTCTGCTCCTGCTCAGGAAGACTCCGGCTGCCCACCCCACTTACAATCGCTCTTCTTCCCATACTCAGGCCCTTGGGACCACTGCAAGTTGTCCTAGGAAGTCTTGCCTTAGCTTCTTACTTACTGTTCTACAATTCACCCACATGTCAGATGATTGTTGATAGCTTACCTCCCCCTACTAGAAAGTGAACTTTACTGGGAAGGATTTCACTCCGATTCACTGATGCATAAGAATACAGAATACCCAACACTGAGTTGCCATTCACTAAACATTTCTTGACTGAGTGGTACTTATTTACAGCAGCCTGCAGAGCTCAACTGAGAAGGCCTCAGGGGGGCTTGAGGATTCAGTGGGGGATCAGCTCATTGACAAGAAGCACCCTGGTCAGTCCTAGCATCTCCTCTAGTCCCTGCCAGGAAATGAATGCTAATAGAAACCAAGCCATGGGACTTAAGAAGGTAGTGGCTTTTCTTGTCCTAGTTCTGTGAAAGCAGCGAGTGACCAAGCCAGGTCATCCTAAACAGCCAATCATGGACAAGGTATAGCTCTCCAGGGTTCCCCTCAGCAGCTAGAGAGGGCTGGACCAAGGAGGAGCAAGATGTGGCCACCTATTAGCCAGGAGCACCAGCCACTGCCTGGCTGGTACCCAGGTCCCTTATTCCCTCCCCAGAATCCCATCAAGGAGGCAAAAGCCCTTTTCTCATGTCAGGGAATATTTCCTGCATAAGGATCTTCACCTCAGCATGCCTGGGCAAAAGGGCTGTCTGGAAACCTGGCTGGCATAGATAGTTCACAAGCCCACGTCCACTCACAATACTCACTAGCATGTGGGAAAAAGACCGCTCATGTTGGGGAAAATCAAGGCCCAGACAGCTCAGTAAGTTTAGGCCAAACAACCACCCCATGGCTGACCTGGGTCAGGATGCTAGATTTCCTGATAGTTTGACCCTGGCTCTTTTCTGTGGTATTAAAATTGGATGTGCTTGTGTTCTTCTGTGTCACCTCCTACTGCCCTGCCCTGCCCTGCCCTGCTGGAAGATGCATCACACTTATAGTGCAGGGGTGTGGCTGGAGAGATTCTTTCCTCCCTTCTTGGGGACCCTACCCACACCTTTCTCCCTAAGGTGGTGGGTGTCAGTGGGGCAGGGACCTCCAGCTACCTAGGGAGGAAACTTGTAATTTCTCACTAATTCAGCAGCATGAAGTTGGTTTGTGCACCAGCCTCACAGCATGGAAGGAACTTCCAAGAACGCCTCTTAGTCCCGCACACAGCCTTGGCAGGAGCTAGCCAGCTTGCCCAGTTTAGAGGAGCACAGCCTTCCCACAGGTGCAAAAGTGGCCCAGCCCCTATGATGACTGTTGGATTTTTTGAGGGGGTGGGGGAATACCGGGAATCAACTTGGGACCTCGCCTTTGCCAGGCAGGCGCTGCATCACTGAGCTACATCCCTGGCCCCCTGACTACTGTTAGGGATGCATTTCCTAATCCTCACAACCAGTTAGCCCCCGTCTCCATCTTCCTCGGAGCCAACCTCTGCACTGCTGCCTGAGCATCCTGCTAGAAGGCAGGGTGGGTCCTTCGGCAGCTTAAAATAACCCAGAGGATAAGATGAAGGTACCAACACACAGCGCGCAGCGCCCCTCACCCTCACCCTCCACACCTCTATGAGCACTTCTGTTCCTAAATCTAGGCCACAGCAGGCATCCTGTCTCCCATCTCGCATCTGCTCGGCCTTCCTGCGTTTGCACATGCTAGTCCCTGTCTAAAACCCCGGTCCTGCGCTTCCGTCTAGCAACGCCCTCCCCTGCAGCCTTCGCCACCCCTCCCACAGCACCTCCTCCACCAATCCTTCCAGGCCTCTCTGCTTTCTCTTCCTACCATCTTGCCTTTTGACAGCTTCCAGAATTAATGAATGGGAGTGTATGACATTCATCATGTGAAATTGTGGTTTTTCAGGTCCACCCTGCCAAATCTCAGCAATTCCATATGTACAAATGTGATGACTGATTTCTACCATCATGTGCTGTTCTTATCCAAACTGCAGTAAGGGAACTGTACTTTCCTCTCTGTTTTCTGAGCACCTGGCAAAGTGCTTGGCACCAGGTTGGCCCCTGACTAATGCTTGCTAGATGGATGGGCACTGTTTGGCAGGGTTCTTGCATGCAGCCTGTTCTGCGGTGTTGTGTGTTCTAACACAAAACCAAAACTGAATCCAGGACTGTGGTAAAACCTCTGAACAATTTTCCTCCCTGCTCCAGATGCTTGTCTGAGCAGGCCAAGCAGTGCGCAAGGACATCTCGCACACGCAGCGGGTGGGACCGCACAGGGGTCAGGGCAGCTACCTTTCTGGCGGGAGAAGCAGAGTCAGCAGTTGATGGAGAGGAAGCAGCAGCTGGATCAGAAGACGGAAGGCAAGAGGGAGAGGAGGGAGGATGAGGCTGAGACAGGCCTTTAGAGAGTAGTTTATTCTGCGTGGAACAGAGACAGGAGAGACCAGGGTTATCCCAGGCGCCTGCTCAGTGAAAGGCGCCTCCCACGTGCAGCCCTGTGCCCTCGGGGGAGACACCAAGCTCTGGGGCTCGAGCCCAAACAGAAACCTGTCTTTGGAGCCAAGCAGGATTATGTGGCCTCTGGTTACACTGCACTCTGCTGTCACTTTGCCAGCTCCTTGTCACAGCCGGAGCAGATGCACCGCCTCCCTCTACCCCACCCAGCAACGCTAACTCTCAAGGCTCTCGCCTCAAGCAGCAGCTGCAAGCTTAGGAGGGACAATCCTGGGCCACTTGAGACAGATGGCACAGCAGGGGCCTCTGCAGCTGTGGGCAGGCGACTGTGCTTGCTTCCTAGCGGCCCCAGAGAGCCCTAAAAATGAACTCAGTGTAAAGCACTGCTCACTGCTGCTCCTTCACTACCAGGGAGCAGGGGCCACAGGCCTGGAGGACACGGCGTGAGAATGGCAGAGGAGATGCACTCCAGACAGGCTTGCCGCGGCGGGCAGGCCTCACCCCTGCACCCACCCACCCGAGGGCCTCCGTATCCATGCTGCCAGCTCCCTGGAAACAACGACTTCTTCTCTGCAAGTTTCCAAATCAGTACCTGTCTCCGAGGGGGCTGTACTTCCTATGCTAAGGCAAAAGCTTGCTTCTTGGCTGGACACTGGCCCCAGAGGAGCTGGGCCCAGGCTGTAGCGTTGGGCTACAATACAACATTTAGTGCCTTCCTGGTGAGGCCCGCGGGGCTCTCCCATCGTGTCCAAGGCAGCACAAGTACCTGGTTTGCTTCCACCTTAAAGACACTGGGGGTCTTCCATGTGGTCAGCACTTCCTCTTTACTGTGGCTCCAAGTACACTTAAAATGACAAGCATCTAGGCATTAACAGCCTGCTTTTCTATGTGGAAGGGGTTCCTTTTGATAGGCTTATTTTCCTTTTGCCATGATATGGCAATATGGAATCTTTGCATTTTTTTTCCAGATGCCACCCTCTAACTGTTTAGTGGCTTAAAAATACACACTTCCTCATATTATAAAATAGGAGAAAAGCAATCTCCAGAGCAGGGCTCATGGCCATCTGGCTGGATGCCCAGCACGGGGGTTCCCAGGGCCCCGGACAGCCCTGATTTACCTGTGGAAACTCCCCATGTCCAAACATGGAGGCGAGGTGAGCTGCCTTCTCTTTAATGTTCTTTTGGTGAAATTCCCTGTTGGCCAAGTTCTGAGCCCTCTTCTGTAGTCAAGGTGAGAAAGGAGAAAGAAAAGGCACAGTGACAGAGACGGAGAGGGCTGCTCCCAGTGGGAGCCCAGGGCTCTGGAGCGCGTCTCTCTAGCCCCACACACAGTAGAACAGGAGATCAGAAAGGAGCGGGAGGAGAGGGGACCCTCAAGGGCAGGAGGAGGACAGCAAAGGCGGAAAGCTACCCAGATACAGATAGGGCAGGGCCAGCGGGCTCTTTCACCTGGAGAATCTTCTCTTCCACTTGCTGCAGCCGCCGCAGCACCCCTGAGAGAGCCAGTGCTCCCTGGCAGGCAGGAGGCAGGGTGGCAAGGTTTTCTGGGCTGCCCAGCTGCAGGTCAGACTTGGCCCTGGCTCTCCAGGGCCGGCTTGGACACTCACCACCAGTGGACACTTGCTTGAGCTCTCTGAGTACCTGCCCCATGACAAGCACAGAGGAGAGCTGGGAGGGAAGGAACATCGAGCTTCTTTCCCACCTGGGCCTTCCATAGCCCCTGTAAGGGATGCCCATGAAGACAAGAGACCTCTGGGGCTGCCCTCTGTCCCTGCATCAGTGTCACACGATATCCTTGTTAACAATGTAATCTCGGGCCTCCCCAGACCTTCCCAAGCCCAAATCAATACAGCCCTGGCTCTCCGTTCTACCTGCACACTGAAATCATCAGAGCTACTTTAAAAAATTACTCAGGTCTGGGCTTAGCCACTGGAGACACTGATTTGATTGGTCTCAGCAAGTGTGCAGCAGGGATAGTTTGTCAAAAGCTCTACTGGTGATTCTTAGGCACATAGACATAACATCTCAGCAGCAGACCTGCACCTGCCTCACCTTACCTCTGTCAGAATGTGTGGTCTCTTCACAGTGACCCTGTTCTAATTCTAAACCTGGAGCAGCGAGGTGGGATGAGCCACAGGCTGTCCTTGGCTGCTCCAGAACCTGGGAGGCTTTCACTCTGCACCAGGCCCTCCCTTCCGTGGATGCGGCCACCTGACCACTGGAGCCCAGGCCAGCTCCACACCCCACTGACAAGCTCTCTTCAGGTCTGGAGCATGTGCATGAAGCTGTATTGCATGAGGCCCTAGAGCAGTGGCTGCGAACCTTCCTGAGCCTTCAATGACGCAACCAGCCTGCTGTGGCATTCGTGCCACAGGTTCGTCACCACTGCTCTACGTGGTACAGTTTGTGCCCACCACTAAGGGTGTGGTGGTTGGTCAGTGGGTACCTATGACTCCTGGGGGATCAACAATGTGTCTTGAGTCTGCCTGCATGGCTATTCTGACCTATAAGGGCAGCCACTTTAAGCTGTGTCCATTTGTCTACAGAACCTATAATCAACCCTACGTGGGGGTGGAGGGAGCTACTGGTCCCACCCTCAGATCAGAGCCCCCAAGACAGCAGCCGCTGGCAGGAGCCCTACCTGCCTTTTCAGAGGAGGTGACGGGCTGGGAGTGGGCTCCTCTGGTGTGGGGCAGCGACAGTCTACAGGAGGGTGAGAGGAAGAGCACGGGACGGGCTTACCTATCCCTGAGACACAGCGCTCCTGGGAAGAGAAAGGTCCAAAGAAGCGGCCGCAGGAGACATGAAGGAAAAGGTGAGTCAGACTGACAGAGATGGCAGGAGGCGAGAAGAGAAGCAGGGGACACTGTGTGCAAGTGCTGGGCTGCCTGGTCCCCCAAGCCATGCCCAGGAGGATGCCGAGGGCCCCTTCTCATTCATGTGAGCATCGAGGCCTGGAGTCCCGTCCTCCGGGACAAGGTGTGAATCCCACAGGCCTTGCATTTGGCTCAGACTCAGGATCCTATGTTGGCACTGCCAGAACCTGTGCCAGGCCAGGGTGGCCAACCAGGGAGTCCTCCTGGAAAGAGAGGGCTTCCTGCCCATTCTGGGACAGGGACACCCTTGTTCTTCTGAGGGAACAGAGCCCTCACCTACCCTGTTGGGAACCAAGCCCCAAGAAGGGGCAATTAAGAATATTCTTAGAGGATCACAGGTCTCAGGAAAATGGTCCTTTTATGAAATCACTTCCTGGGCCCACACCAAGACCACAAGAGGCCAACCCAGCAAGACTGTCCTCCTGAAAGGGGCCTCATCATGTGACGGGACAAGGATTCTCCATAGACCGAATAAGCCTTTCCCCCAAGCTTTTGCACTGTGACAACAGCATCCAGAAGGAATGCAGGGGAGCACGTGGAACTGTGAGCACAGAGCTTCTCTAGCGCCAGACAGCAGGGCATTCAGCGTGCCCCGGCCTCAGACTAACTGGGCTCAGACACGGGCCCAGCCAGGCTGACTGGGCGGTAGGTAGGGTGTGAAGAGGGCCGGGATGCCTGGGGGCTGCTCTGATCTCTGCAGATCTGACTCTGCTTCTTGGGGGTCAGATGAATCCTCTGACTCTGGACTGAGCACTCTCTCCATAGCCAGCAGCTCAACACCTCCCTCAAGCTACACCATCTCAAAAGTGGCTGTAGGTCAAGCTGCGGTTTTAAATCAAAACCAATTCAGAAAATGGATTTCTTTAATGCACAGCGGACATCAGCCAACTCTGGCTTAGGGGCCCAATCTGGCCTGTTTTTATAAATAAAGTTTTATTAGAACACAAGCATGCTCATTAGTCTTGGTGCCATCCGTGGAGTCTTTCATGTCACAATGGCAGGGACACAGCACTGAGTAGGTCAGCATGCCCCCAAGCACTGTACACAAGGGTTGCTACCCAGCCTCAGGGAGGGGGCCGCTGACGCCCGACCAAGCACTCCAGTCCCATTCCCACCAAGCCCTGCTGGCGTATCTCCATCCATCTGACCCAGCACAGTTGGTCACCAGGAAGGCAGGCCCTGAGGGTGCCGGGCCCAACTCACCTGTCTCAGGACTGAGGGGTTCCGCGTGCTCTCCTCAAACTTGGCCAGCAGCTGAGTCGCCATGGACTTGACTTTGTTCTGATTTCCTGCCTCCTTGCTGTTGGCGCATTCCTGAGCGGAGTCTGAGCTACGGCCGGAGAAGCTTGACGGCTGCAAAGGTCAAAACAGTCCCCTCGAGGCTGCGTCCTGGAGCCCAGGTACCAAGGAGGAGTCTAGAGACCCAGGACAGGGACTGATTCCCGAAGCAGGACTTGGTCCGTGGGCAGAGGAAGAGTGGCAGAGACAGTAGGCAATATGGCAGAGATGCACTAGGCAGACAAGCTTCTGCAAAAGAGGGGCCAGGCAGAGCTTCAAGCCTGACTCTTCTCTCCCCAGCCCTGCGGCCTTGCCAATATACCTCTCCGATGTTTTCTCATTTACAAAATGGGAATGATTTTATAGGAACAACCCACCCGTTACTGTGACTGCAAAAAATGAATTATAACAAAGAAACGTCGTATAAAACAGCTTTCAAGATACACTGCGTGGCCAAGAGCAGGCGAGAAGCAGGTGGACGCAGGCCACCATAGGCTGCCCGTCAGGCGGGCACCAGTGCTGGCATCTTCCTCCTGGCTCCCCCATGGGCCCTGCCTAACTTCTCCCAGAGCTGCAGAGTGTTTGCTTTCTTTAAAACGGTCTTCTAATTCAGAAAGAATCTCAGGCTTCCACAGAAGTTGCAAAGGTAGCACAGTTTGTTCCTGCATACCGTACCCTTTGCCCAGCGGCCTGAAGTATAATGTCTGGAACCACGACAGGACTGTTATCAAAAGTAAGAAATTAACCTTGGCCGGACATTGTTAGCTGAGCTGCGGGTTTTATTTGGATTGCATCAGGTTTTCCACAACGCCCTTTCTCTGCTCCTGGCTTCAGTCCAGGGGCCTACCCTGCACTGAGTCACTGTGTCTCTTTGGGTTCTGCCAATCTGGGACAATTTCTCCATCTTTCCTTGTCTTTCACGGCTTTGACATGTGGGCAATTGTTTTCTAGAAAGCGACTCTGTTGGTCTGAGGTTTTACATGATTAGCCTGGGGTGACAGGCTTTGGGAAGCTGCTGCAGAGCCAAAATGCCCAGAGTGTCCCATCCTAGCAGGGTATGTAAGAGCAGCGTGACTTATAAGTGATGACGCAGGCTGGGGAGATAGCTCAGTGGTCTAAGCACCTGCCTGGCAAGTGCAAGGACCTGGGTTCAATCCCCTATACTGCATGCTGTTCCGGCCCCAAAACCCTGGGCGTGCCGTGCTGGCCACCAGAACTGGGCATGGTGGCACACGCCTGTGACCCCAGCTCTGGGGAGGCTGAGACAGGAGGATCACTAAGCTGCGTAGTGAGACCCTGTACAAAATATATACATTAAAAATAAATGAATACATAAATAAATAATTACAAAGAAAAATTTGAAAAGTAAGTGGTGATGTGGGCCTTGACTGCTGGGTTATGCATTCTATAAAATGAAGTTCCATCTCAGATTTCTCTAGTTCTCCTACTAACCACAAAAAGTTGAAAATTACTGGGGTTTCATAAGAATGTCTGCTTCTGTCCCCAGGGTCCTCCTTCCTTATGTCCCGGAAGGATAAAAGTACTGCCAGGCTGAGAGGGTAGCGAGATTTCTCAAGGATTCGGTGGGCCTTCCCCGTGGGAATAGCATTCTCAGGACAACAAAGATGCACAGCCCTGGAAGGAATTCAGGGGAGACGGCCAGCTAGAGTACGTTCATTCTTTTTTTTTTTTTTTTCTTTTTGTGGTACCAAGGGATTGAACTCAGGACCTTGCGCTTGCCAGGCAAACACTTATTCCACTGAGCTGTCTCCCCAGCCCTGAGTGTATTCAGTTTTGAGGGGTGCCTATGAGTGGCAGGCCCATGGGAAACTTCACAGATAGCCACTCTGACATGCAGGAAGCAAAGAGGCACTTCCAGCTTCAAGCTGTGAGATGGGGCTGCGCATCAGCACTGGACACTGAACCAGAGAAGCTGCCATCACTGTCGTGGAAGACCAAGGTCAGCCACTACAGAGAGCCACACAGGCTGACACTTGGGGCATTAACAGGCAGTGCGTGTGTGAGTGGGAGGCTACCTTCAAAGCAGACCGGTCTTTGCTGGGTCTAGGGAGGAAGCTTCAGAGAGCGTTTCTGACAAATCCCAGTGCCACGCATAGGCTGCTGGGTCTAGGGCCACACTGAGCAGCAAGGGCTGTTGCTTTGTCATGGCTGACTTTGAGCAAAACAGCTGCCCCAGCAAACAGCTCAGAAGCGGCAGCTGCAGACCAGATTTCTTCCCACTCCAGCCCTGTGCTGCCGGGCAAGGCTGAAATACAGGAAAAGACTCCTCAAGATGGTGTGAACCTGCGAGGGAGGATTCTCGGGTGCTCTGCTCCCCTGGGGGTTGGCTCTCTGCGAGGTGCGATTTAAGAACATGCTGAATGCTGCAGGCCAGTGCCATCCGACAGCAAAGGCAGGCCCCTGAAAACCTTATGTGTCCCTGCCCACCTTATTCACTGGACAGGGCACTGTGTGACTTCTGCATGTTCCTAAAAGTCGAAGCAACCAGGAAAGATAAATGTTTTCAATCTACTTAGAACATCGAGGCAGCCACAACACTGCAGCTAAAGCCGTGAAAGCAGGTGGCAAGAGGGGCTCGGCAGGCAGTTCGGCAGTTAAGCGCCTGCCCGGCCAGCTCAGGGACTAGAGTTTGAGCCCCAGTACCGCGTGCTGCACGAGCCACCGAAACTGGGTGTGGTGTTGCATGCCTGCAATCCCAGCGCTGGGGAGGCTGAAACAGGAGGATCACTACGAGTCTGAGCTGCGTAGTGAGACCCTGTACCAAATAAATAAAGAAAAGACAAAGAAAGAAAGTGGCAAGCACTGGGATGAGTGACGTGCAGCAAGGGGGAAGATTCTGGGAAGGACCAGCAGGAACGCCTCTTTTACTGCAATAAATTAAACGTTCACTGCAATTTCCAATCATACTGTACAGCCACTGTGAAGCGAGCCACAGACATGTTCTAAACTATAGTAATAAACATCTTCAACAATGTAAGGTAGGAAAAGGGCCAGCCAAATAGCTCAGCGGATTAAAGCGCCTGGAAGCAGGCACAGGGGCCAGGGGTTCAATCCCTAGGTCTGCCGTGCTGGCACTGAGATGGCAACTGAGACTGGGCATGGTGGCGTGCACCTGTAATCCCATCTCTTGGGAGGCTGTAAACAGGCGGATCACTCTGAGTCTGACCTAGTAGTGAGACCCTGAACACCCTGTAGAGCCTTCCCCAAACAAACAAACAAAAAAAAGTAAGATAGAAAAAATTCTTAGTCCTATGAATCAAGTACTGATGCATTATATAAAAAATACCACATGCTCAAAACTCTTTTTTAAAAAAATTTTTTTTGATGATACTGGGAATTGAACCCAGTGCCTTCATACTGAGCTATAATCCAGTTCTTGCATTCTCTTTCGTTTTGAGGCAAAGTCTTACCAAGTCCCTAAGCTGCCGACGTTGGGCTCAAACTTGGGATCGTCCTGCCTCAGCCTCTCAGAGCGCATGGATGACAGGGGTGGCCATCACACCTGGCTCTAATCCTTTCTTATCATCACCAATAAGCACGCAAGAGCAGGCCCATTCCACTGACACCCGTAAGCTTGGTTTTGTAGAACCAAAGGGCTTTTAAAAGGAAACATACACCTCAGGTCTAATTAACTTGCAGTCTGGCCAAGCAGGAGCCTATTTTTTTTTCCTGTGGACCAAGTTTTCAGAAGCTGGTGTGAGATGGGCACTAATTTGACTAAATTGCCTGCAATTTTTCTTTTCTACCAGAAGATGGCACTATAGATCCCAGGACATTTGGCTTGACAGAAAAATGCAATGACGGAGAAAAGTGAGCCTGCCGGTGCCTCTTTCCTACTTACTAGGGGTTCAGTGTTCACCAACACAAGTGTGAGATGCCATATTCAGTAACCTACGTGTGTCCTCTTATTAATCTTCAGAAGTCCTGCAGGTTCCCACATTTCAGGTGCGATTTCCCAGCCCCAGGAGGCCCGTTCCTCAAGGGTGCATGGTTTGGAAGTAGAGATGCAAGCATCAGAACCCTGGCAGGGTGCTGTCAAGTCAAGCTTGGCATTTAGTGGTTCAGGAGAAAGAAAGAGCTGTTGTCGCAGGAAGCCCCAGACCCTGGGCGCCAGGCAACGGGCCTTTGTTCACACTGACCCTGTGCACGCCGTCCTCATCCAGGTTGATGATGCCTTTCCTCCTCCGCTTGTTCATGTCATTCTCTTCAGTCTGGGCGTCTCCCTGCAACGGCGAAGAAAGCGTGGTGAGCTCACGGCTGCTGAGGGATTCGTGTCCGCCCACATCTCTGAGGCCACAGGGTCGGCCCTGAGCTACAAGCGTGCACACGTGAATCCTGGCCTGTGAGCAGCTGCCAGCCTAATGGCAGAGGTGGGGGAGTGGCCCTGCACTGTGACATCCGGGAGCCATGGCCACCTAGGGAGCCTCGGGCTTGCTCGGAAGGGTTGGGAATTACACCGCAAAGTGTCCTTTGGAGACCTCCCTGCGACCAGGCCAGGCAGGGACTGCCTCTGTTGCACTGTGACCGTGAGGGTGCAGAGGTGAAAAGGTGTAGTGACGGTGGCAGCTGAGCCTGCCACGCTCTGGGTGTGCTGCTCAGTAGGACCACGGGGCCCCTCTGCTCCTGGGGCCCCTTTCTGAGGAAATGACATTGATTCACCTCAGCAGGACTCATAGGACGCGAAGGACTTAAATGAGCTGTCCAGGGTGCCAATTTAAGCCTACGACGCAGTCCCTATCACAACGTTTTATTAATTTCCAATAAGCATTAGATATGGGCTGGGGACTAGAGGGACCATGCAGCCCAGCTCGCCTGGGATGCTTGTGATTCTCTGTCTCCCTCCTACAGCACTGTTAAATAGTAACTGGCTGCCCTGTCACCCGCAACGCATCCTGGGCTGCACCTCACATTTCATGGCTGTCCCACAGACAAGCCTTCACAGCCCATACTCTGTGGCCTAATCTTGACATCTAGATTCCGGTAACTCCGCTCTATTCTACCCCAAAGGCAAACACAGTCCTGCTCTCTCTGGGAGGAATGAGGAGGACTACTCTGAATGCTTGGGGCCTGGGCGGGCCACAGAGGCTGGATTTGGTGCCTCCTCTGTGCCCAGCCTTGGCTTGCCTGGTGCCCTTCCTACCCAGGCAGACCTCTCTCCCACCAGCCTGCGGTCTCGGGGGTTCCCCCGTGTCACTTCGGCAGGATCCCTGTGCTCTGACTCTCCATCGCAAGCCCAGATCATATCCAAGCCTTTCCCTCATGGGGGAGGAGGAGCAGGAGGAGGGCTTTCAGGCCACTGGCTCACCTGCACCCAAAAAAGCACGACCAATGCCACCCACCCCGATTCTACCGTATTACAGGAGGGCCCTTCCCCTGCAGAGGCTCTGAAATGGCAAGCACTCAGTACGCTCTTTCCCCCCAACAAGCACTCCACATCGCCCCTGTCCTCTCATTTACCATCACCTTTACTTGTTTTTTTTTTTTTTTAAAGAAAAGATCAGCACAGTATAGTCATTGATATTTGTTCAAAAATTTGACCCAGGCAGCACAAAACAACAGATCAAAAGTCTCTGCCTTCCTTCCATCGTTTCCCTCAGCTTCTCATAAATCATCATTTTGTGAATGGAAATAATTTCAGCCCAAAGGCTTGGGCGGACACCAAGAGAAACAGATGACCTTATTTGCAACAATGTTGGGTCTTCAGAGCACAGGCCATCGGGATGTCCAGCCCCACTGCCTGTGAATGCCCCTCTGGCCCTGTGGTAGGAGCCCATGACAGTACAGAACGACAGAACTCCTCATGCGCAGACTTAGGGCTTTCTGGTTGTCCCTCACCTTAAATGAGGACTTGGCTTTTGTCCCCAAGAGCAACAAAACTCAGTCTCACTCTCTTTCACACTCAGCAGCTTGGCACGGGGTTGTTGGTACCATCACAGCCTGGACAAGTCTCATCCAGCCTTATCATCCAGACGCCCCCCAAAGCCAACCCAGCTCCTGGGAAGACTCCAAGTCCTGCTGCAGCAAGAGGAGAGGCAACCTCCTCCCCTCAGCTCCTTCCCTCCTGACCCCCAGGCAACAAAGCACAGAAGCCAAGCAACACACATACCCGAATGGCACCTCCCCTTCCTTATGGATTTACCAGTGAAGCCCAAATCCTCTACTCAGATCTAAGTTCCAACAAAAATGTAAAGAGAATTCAAATCTAGAGATATATCTTATTATTGTTGATCTGTGTATCTAATCTGGAAGCCAAAATTGATTCAGAACCCACAACCTCTTGGACCCCAAGCTCCAGAGAGAACTAGAAGTGCAAGAAGGAAGCAAAAGTTCTGCATGCCCAGCCAGGATAGCATGAGAAGAAAAACAAAAATTACTTTCTTCTCCTGGTAATTTTCCCAGCTCTCACCCTCAGAACATTTTCTTATCATGACTTCCCAAGGATCTAGAAGACTCACCATGCCAAAACACATTTATTAAATGAATTGGTTTCCTTTCTTTAAAAAAAAAAAAAAATCAAAGGTCCGTATCTGCCAATTGGATCGCTTATTTGACTAGCATAAGATAACCATGTTTCCATACTGCCTGAGTTAATGTGATTTTGGGCTCAAAGCAAACAAGCTTTGGTTAGCTCATACTGCCTGAATCTGGTAGAAGGTTAGGTCTGGGTCAGAGGGAGCTCGGTCGGCCACTGCGGGGCATGTCTTACGTCTTGGCTGAGTCAGGCAAAAGCTATGGGAGTTAGAAAATGGAGCAGCAAGGCTAGCGAGGGAGTCTGTTCTCCGAGGAGACACAGGTCAAACTCTTGTCCTAATGACTTTCTAGCTGTGTGACCTTAGGGACGATCACCCAGATGTTCTGGCTTGCTTCTTTATCTATAAGCAGGAGACTTACACTGTCTAGCTCAGATCTTTGAGAATTAATGAAATAGCAGATGCAAAATTATGAAGGTTTTTTTATACTTCAACTACAAAAGGGTTAGTAGAGTTAATGGGTGGGTTTTGGTAACAGAGTTTTAAACATCTGTGCTCTGGTTTGGGCCTGACACCCACTGCCACATACCAACATTTAATCTCCCGGAGTGCACATTTCCCACCTACAAAACTGGGATGGGGAAGCATTTCCAGGGTCCTCCAAAGATAACATGAGAGGCAAAAGAGATGTAAGTGTGGAAGTGCTTCCTCGGCTGCTGTGGAGAGCCAGCACTCAACCCAAATGGCTGTACTTACCTGCAGTGCAGGGCACCAATGATGTCAGGCCCAGGTCATCCACCAAGTCCCTTCTATAGCCAGGTTCGCAGGCCCTTACATGTGCTGTCCCTGCAGCAGCGCTTGAATTCATCCATCGCTGCCCGCATTTGCAGACATACAGGGAGCTGTCTGAGCGCTCAGACTATTCCCAAGTCCCCAGGACGTCCTGAACATATATTTATCTGCCTGGCTCCACAGTCTGACCTTTGCTCATAGTCCCGAGCAGAGAGTGTGTGGCGGGAAGCCGGGAAGGCAGCCTTGGCTGTGGGCTGCACACCACGGGTCCTGGAGGCTGTTCACCGTGGCATCTGACCAGCTTTGGAAGCTGGTGCCCGGACCCACGCCTTCTCCAGGTCTCTGCAATGGGAAGGACTGGAAACCTAGCAGGAGCTTTAGTGGGTGTGGGGAAGGCAGGGTTCTGTGGGAGAAGTGTGGAAGGGGAGTGAGCGAAGCTGGTAGATCGCCCTGGAAGGCAAGCTGACTGCTCAGCACTGAGAAGAGAACTCAGCCTGAAACAGACCCTCACCAAACTGCTGTTCTGAGTGTGCCTTACATTTGCAGAAGTCATGGAACTTGTACTTCTCAGCAATGTTGAAACGGTTAGGACTTTGGCAACTCTCAGAGATGGTCTAAGATGCCTTTTGCATACTGGGAAATCCACGAGTCTTCAGGGGTCCAGGGACAAAATGTTATGGTTTGTGTCTAGATGTCCCCCAAAGCCTCATGCAGTCATGGGTGTGGGCTTCTAGAATTTGAGATGAATTCATAGTCCAGGGCTGGGATTATGGGTGTGAGAGCGACACTCTGCCGGGGTGGGTGGCCTGCCATGATACAAGAGAGAGAGGGAGGCTTTCCCTCTGCCGCTGTTCCTCCCTTTTGGCTCTTGCTGCTTTTGCTGTGTGCTTCTGCTGACGTGAACTACTGCCCTCTGCCATGTGCCCCTCTGCCTTGGAGCCAGCTGAGTATGTGTTAAAACTTTTACGAACTGAGCTAAATAAACCTTTCCTCCTTAATTCTGGCCATCAGGCATCTTGTCGCAGCAACAAAAGACAAGTAACTAGGCAACCTGCTCAGGACCCTGTCCTATCTCTCAAACAGAAGCTTTCTTTCCCTAATAAATATATTCTGCTTTAAAACAAACAAACAAACAAACAAACAAACCAGCAGTTGAAGGAATGGATAGATGGACAGAAACAGCAGGTGACAGCTTGTCTGCTGTTCCCCAGGGAGTGGGTTTAGCCTGGGACCCTGCATGTGCGTGCACACAAAATGTACCATGTGTAGCGACAGTGGTACCCATAAATACAGACCTGTCCCATGTCCCATGTAGGGCTAGGAGAATACAGAATACAGACAGTGTGAGTGTGAGAGTGTGTGTGTGTGTGTGTGTGTTTGCGTGTGCATGCACATGAATGCAGAAATGACAGAGCCTGAGAATGTAGGTTCAAGTGTCACTTGTATGCATGGTGGTAAGAGCCTTAAAGCTCTGGGGAACTGTTCCATGCTCGGAAGGTTTTAAGCAGGCATGGCGACACCCATCTGTAATCCCAGCTACTTTGGAAGCTGAGGCCAGAAGATCTCAAGTTTGAGGTCAGCCTGGGAAATTGAGCCAAAGCCTGTCTCGCAAGCAAAGCAAATTTAAACAATAAAAAAGAAGCTCTTAGATCTGACCAAGATCACAAGCAGATTTATAAAAGAAGGCCGTGGGCTCTGTGAGAGGAAAATGCAACTCGCAAGCTCACTTCTCCCAGTCCCGCTGCCCGGTCCTCAGAGCTAATTACCCCAATGGGCCGCCGGACATGTGGGCTGGAAAAGTTACTCTCCGTAAAAGTAAACAAGGTCCTGCATGGAGCAAATGCCTTTCATTTTGTTTGAAGTTGGTAAGTCTAGCTGGGATTTGGATGTTATCAGGAAAATGGGATTAGGGAAGAAAGAATTTAATATCAACAGTGAAAACCAGAAGAGAGCGCTTAGGACCTGCCCCGCAGGCATCAGCGCATGCTCTTCTGGACAGGACGCAGGGCCGAGTGCAATGTCCGCTGTGGGGCGGCCTCTTGTAGAGACACCAGTGTGTGCTGGGGTTTCGGCTCCTGGAGCAGAGCTGTCTGTGTGTCTGTGCGGGACCCGGCTGCGCTGGGCTCAGCACTCTGCTTTGGGAAATGCGAAAGCCAAACAGCATAGCAAATAGGGCTCCAACCAGGAAAGTACCCGGATAGTCACGGCTGGGCCTATGGGGGAGGGGGGACTTTCACATGTGGACAGTGCATAGGGTGTGCTGGTGATCAAGGCAGAATGGGACCAAGTGGACTCGCTAAAGCCCCTGCCCACCCAGAGGGAACATACTATTGTTTTGAGAAAAGACGGAAAGATAAATTAATCCCATGCCAGCACTTACTTCAAGAACCAAATTTTTCTACCTACCCAAAGAGTGGGAGAAATTTCCAGTGTTAAATGGGCCTGGCTGAGGCCCAGTTCCCAAGAGCTTCCCAGCAGGGTCGCAGGGAGGGAGTGTGGCCCTGGCAGCCCTCAAGGGCCTGGCTGCCTCTGACTACCCTACCTCTGGAGCCCAAGCTGACCCAGTTGCTGCACTCGCTTGCTCTGTACATCAAGGTGTGGCAAGGAAGAGAGCTCTGCCCCCCTCTCTCATTCCCTGTGGGGCTAAGCGGTGGGAGGAAAGTGGGAAGTGGAGAAGGACGCCCAGGGTCTGGCTTGCTGGGCAGCCTGAAGCAGGGCTGCGTGGGCTTCTAAGGAAAAGCAGCTGGGCCGGGGCGGAAGGAGACACAGCTGTCTCCAGAACACAGCGCCGGCTCAGTGGGACACACAGTGAGCAACACACCCAACACAGAGAGCTCTGAGGGCGAGGGCAGCAGAGGTAAGAGCTGATGACGGTTGCAGTCTCTCCCCCTCAGGCCTGGCCCTGCAGCCCATCCTGTCCTAGAGCCAAGGAGGGGCAGAGGCATGAAGCACAAAGCACCCCTGCTCCAGGACTCGGCCAACAGCTGCTGCAGCATTCCAGGGAGCCAGTGATCAGGCCTATGGGGACAACTGACCCCTGTTCACATGGTGGAGGGCAAGAAAGGAGGCCCAGGGGCCCCACCACCCCCGGGCACAGCAACTGGTGGGACCAGGCAGCACTGGGGAGGCGCAGGGATGCGCTGAGGCTGCAGGACAGCAGGCTCCAGCTGGGGTGCCGCTCACCACCCTCCCCAGCTGCCCTGATGCAGCTGGTGCCCAAGCTTGGCCCCATTCTCCATGATCCCTTTCCTCTGTCCCCATGACCACCCATGAGCACACACTCCTGTCCCACTCCTTCCCCCAGGGCCTCAAGTCCCGCAGCAGAGCCGCCCACAGTTCTGCCCTGCCTGACTTCCCTGCAGTGCTCTGCCCACTCCGAGGGAATGCTCTCCTCCCGAGTCATCTGGGGCTCTCTTACTGCTTTTCTTTCCACCCCTCCTCGCTCTCTCTTCTGCCCCTCTGCCCTGCCCACCACCGCTTACACCTCTTGTTCCCTGCGGCTTGGTCTTCTCCCTGCCTGGCTGGTACCTACTTCCCAGCTAAACTCTAAGTGGAGCCTCACTTCATACCTGTGCACCCATCGTGGGATACAGACATGGATTAAGGAATGCACTGGTGGGTGAGTGGCAAAGGACACACGGTCACCTGGGGCAGCCTCTCTGGCCCCTTTCTGCCTCTACAAAATGAGCACCTTACACAGAAAGCTCTTCTCCCACTGAGATGCCACCTACGGGCACCACAAAGAAGTCGCACTGACAGTAAGAGCGCTACAAGTCAAGAAAGGCCTCGAACCTCTTTATTAGGCCCTGAGCTCCCCAAAGCCGAAAGCCACGTATTATCCACTTTGGCATATTTGCTTCTCTTGCCACAAACAAGAGTAACACCACTAATGGTGGCACATAGCAGGGCCCAGTCCACACTCACGGGATAGAACGTTAGTGAAAAGATGCTTAAAGGTAACATTGCATCCGTGGTTTTCGGCCACTGTGCTTAACAAAGTAGAAACCAACTCACTGCAGCTGTGCAGGAGGAGCAACCCTGGTTTGCTTTTCAAAATATTTACCAGTGTGCTCTCTTATCTTTCTACCATGCTAGAACTCAGTTCCTAAAACCAATAAAGTCAATGAATTCCGCCGTTCAGTGTCAGGGAGATGTTCCCAAACTCTCAGCCACTAACCCAAGTTTTATGCGCATCTTCCGTGACTGCTTCGTCTGTGTACTTCATCAGCATAAATGGACTAAGGGCGAGACACGCGCCCTCCCCTCACCCTGGGCGTGTGTCCATGCACAATGAGAAAGCAAACAGAAACCAGCCGGATGCTTACCCGAGGGGTCCTTTTCCTGGGAAGTGTGAGGTTCAGATAGTTATTAGAAAGGGAGGATTTGGCAAAGCTGGGGTCGGCATTTTCTCCGTAGCTTTTGCGCCAAGAATCTGTTGGGAAATAAAAGCACAAATAAGGTTTGGCTCTCCGGGCCAAGGAGGTGTTGTTCGTAACTAGGGTGTTGTGGTACTAAGGTCCCTCTAACATAATTCTCATACCCTCAACTGAAGCAGTAAATGGCCTCAGCAGGGGACTTTTGGGGCCTATCAGTGGCCTCGACCCCATGGAACAGGCAGTCCCTCATGGCACCTCCTAGACAGACCACAGACACACAGAGTCCAGCGGCACAGTCACCTCCACCTGGACTCAGTTCAGAGGGAAGGCCTGGGGTAGCTCAAGAGCAGGTGACCCAGTGCCAGAAGCAGCCAGACATGGCTTGAGGATGGAGCTGGCCCGGGAGCTGGGCCAAGTCCTGCGCAGGCGCTCACCCACGGGCCGTAGCGGGGTGCCCCGGAAGAGCTCGTAGAACTTGGACAGGTACATGACCATGCTGAGCTTGTCTGGCTCCTGAGCTGACGCCATCTCTTTGCCGGTGGTCACTGGAGGAATCCCGAACTCGCGTTCGGCCACGTCAAACGCCAGCTGGTTGTTGTTGACAGCATCGTCTTCATTCAAAGAGTCAAAGTTGCTGGAGAATCAGACAGTGTAGAAGCTCAGGAAGGGGTGAGGTGAGCTGAGCTCCCTCAGCCCACGGGGAATGCCGAGGCTGACACTTAGCCAGGTATCAGGGACCCCAGCCCCTTTTCCTAATCCCTACACCACCACCACCCCAGAAGAGGCTAACCACCCATCTTTGTCACTTTAGTAGAGACCTAATCAAACAGATCGTACATGGGCCCTGGGCTTGAACCATCAGAATATGGAAAACTTATGAGTCACTCCTCTTTTTCATTCTTTCTCTTACGTGTTTGCACACATATAAATCCATCTTTAAAGGCCCAGTCATTATTCGCAGTGCGTAGATGGAGAATTTGAAGTGCAGAGGACTGCAGGGGCTGCCCAGTGGCAGCCAGCTGGTGGACCCAACTGAAAGAGGTTTGTTTTCTCTCTGTCTCTGTTTCTCTGTCTCTTTCATTACTTTTGCCATGCACGGTTGCCCCTCTGCTATAAGCCACCCTGCTTTGGAACCAGCTGATTATGGACTGAACCCTCTATGAATCATGATCCGAATAAATCTTTCTTCCTTTAGCATTAAGTGTTGGGTGTTTTGTCTCAGCAATGAGAAAAAAAGTAGAAAGACAGACACAGATCAGAAACTCTGCTGACAGGGCGCAGTCTGTACAAAAGGAAAGAACAAATGGAAGAGAAAACTCTAGCTGAAAATATGCAGAGAAAATCGTTGATTTGTGTGTGGAGGCGGGGTCCCACGCCCAGCAGGGCGGCCTCAATGCCCCATGTCTCCAGGGTCCAGCCTGGGCCCCACACTCACATCAGCTCGGGCCGGAAGCGGTGGATGATGGCACAGAGGGCCAGGCCGCTGCGCCAGGATGTGCTCAGGTCAGTGACGCTGACGTGCTGGTAGCCCTCGGTCTGCTGTTGGCACCAGGTTAAGAGCTTGCTGGGCCGGATATCTGACTCTGCAGGGAGGAAGCACAGGAAGTGAGGTCCGGGGATCTCAGGGGGCACCTCTGGATGTCCTCTCCTGCTGCCATGATGGCTGGGGACCAGAGGAAACTTGCAGGGCTGCAAGACTGTTGGGCATGGGCACAGCCCCTTGGAGGCAGCTGTGTGGAGGGTGGCTCAAGAGCCTGCCTGAAGAACAAGATGCTTGATGGGAAGCACACTGTCCCCTAACAGGATGCTGCCCAGGCCCTGGATTGCAGGCTAGGGACACAGACTCTGCCAGCAACAGTGGGTGACGGTGACATGATGCTGCAGTGCGTAGAAGCCATGCTGGGGGCACACAAGTGTGTTTGCCCTGAGCTGGCCCTGGGAGGGGACTGCTCCTCCGAGAGTGTCCAGGAAGGTGCACTGGAGCAGGCTCTCGAGGAGTGCCAGGAATTCATCGGCTAGAAGAAAGCATTCCAGGAAAACAGGACTGGGCAGTGGAGAATGTGGAAATCCCAGCATGTTTATATAACAGTAAAATGGTTTATTACAGTAAACAGTGTCTTGCAGCAGTGGGGTACAGGGTGTGCAGGGGGAAGGAGGCAAGAAGGCTGGGCTTGCCTCCCCAGGGACAGGTAGCAAGGTCTGGGCAAGTAGAGGCAGCTGAGCATCTGTGGGCCAGAGAGGAACCCAAGGGAAGCTGGGTGCCAGCGAGTGGCTCCTGTAGCCACTCCTTCTCCTGTGTGAAGCACCAGCCCACAGAGACTCATCTATGTGGGGAGATGAGACCTCCACCCGGGAGCACGAGGCAGACGAGAACAAGCCCGGAGGCCAGTCCACAGCTCACTTTGCTGAGCCCAGTGCTTGCCACACCGACTTAAGCCTCGCAATGCTCCTGCAGATAGGTGCTGTCCTGCCCTTGGTCTCTCCAGGGAGGGAGCTCAGAGCTCTCGCAGAGAGCAGAGGCCTGTCCAAGGTTGCACATGCAACAGGCTGCAGAGTCACATCGCTGGGGCTCCTGGACAGACATCCTGCCTGCAACGCCCGTCTCTGTGACCTGGCCAGGCTCCAGGGGTGGGAGGGCAGGGGTGGTGGAGACTCACCCCGCCTGGAAAGGTTGACAGATCTCCTCACTGAGCCGAGTCTCTCAAGAGGGTAGTGGTCCAGCTCCTTGGTGACGTACAGATGCTTCACCTACAAACAAGAGATGCTGCACACACGGCCACGCTTCCCCAGTGCCAGGTTCAGAGCTCTCCTCTCACCCTATGCACTACTCGCTGCCTGACCCCTGCTGGCCTGAACTGCAGGGTGGCATGACCCCAAAGCAGGGACCCCAAGCAAATGGGGTACAGGCAAGGGACCTCAATGGTCCACCCAAATACGGGGGAGATGATGGTGAAGATATCTCATCCACTACTTTTTAAAAATTTACACCATTCTCTGTTCTAGTGACTGGAGAAAGTGAGGTCTGGGAGGGTCTGAATCAAAGGGAGAAACAATAGAGTCTGGGACAATGAGTGATGCAAAAGAGAGAAATTTGGTCCAGTGGTTTGTTTATTTACTTATTTTTGTGGTACCAGGGATTGAACTCAGGACCCTGGGCTTGTCAGGCAAGCGCTTCTTCTACTGAGCTACTTCCCCAGCCCCTAGTAGATGATTTGAGAGAAGGATAATCATATTGCATATGCATAGAGGCAAACTAATATATGTAAATATATGCAATATGCAAATAAGCACACATCTGCATGCCCATACATGTTCTAGGGATTCCTGTGGGTTGGAAAGAATGCTAACTCCTGCATCTCCTGGGAAGAGACTTAGTTCCATTTTTGGGCCAATATGCTTTGCTGGCCTCAGTCCTAGGAAGATGCACTTGTGAGAAACTCCCTTCCCTCAGCTTAGGGCAGTGACCCAGGTAGGGTCCAGGGATGGGCCTACCTGGTGGGGCCGGACACAGTGAGAGTTGAGGTTTGGGTACCGTGTCCCTGGGTCCAACGTGTACTGCTCAAAGTTCTTATTGATGTTCTCTGGGGTGGTCTGAGGTAGCAGCCGGTAAAGGCTTTCTCTGGAGGGAAGCAGAGCGCAGCAGTTACAGATTGCTCTGGGCACCATAGGCCCCCACCCCACCCTCCTCTTCTCCTCATGGCCCTGGGCTTGAATAGCCCTCCCCTGATGTACTTGACACTCAGTTCCTAGATCTGCAAAATGAGGGGAGGTCCCAGGGCTGGAGAGGGTGCCAGTTTCCTCCCAAGCAGGAGGCAGGGATCCAGGGCTGCAAGCACAGTGACCCGTGGTTCCACTATAATCACAACTTGGCCACACTGCCTGCTGTGGCCAGTGCTCACGGCCACAGGCCTCCACGCCCAAAACGTGCGAAGCTACCGCCCCTGCCAGCCCCAGCTTCTCCCCATCCACCAGCTGTCACAGCCACGTGGCCGACAGCTGGGATCTGGGAAAAGGCCCAGGATTTGAGCCAGGGGAGAGGCCTAGGAGGTCAGATGCCCAGGACAGGACACCCAGCACTGTCCGGGAAGACTCGCTTTAATAAACCTCTCTGGGCCTCAAGTGAATGAGAAACGTCGGCGAGCCCCAGTGTTAGGGCTACCCTGGAGGAAGATTTACCTTGGGCATGCAGGGCCTAAGACCCAGGCCACCTCAGGAAGTCACTGACGGAGGTGCACCAGGATACAGTGTCCTCAAGGAGCCTGATAGTGGAATTGGGGCCCATGGAAAAGGCAGACGAATACAAGACGGAGACCCCAGGTACAGCTGCTCTGATCCCACTCGTGACTAGACACTGCCCAGCCTGCCTCCTGCCAGGAGTCCTGCTCTCAAAACTCACCTTTCCGCCAGCACTTCCAGGGGAGGAGTCCCCTGGTCCCAGCTCTTCACCATCCATGCTGTGTCAAAGGCTGCCAGGAAGCCCCGGGCACAGCCTGTTCCCATGGGCCAAAATGGCTACAAAAGAACCATGTGAGATTGCGGTTGATTCAGATGACTCCTATGTACTGTCCCGTTCTGCCCAGGATGCTCAGGTTGCCAGCCTGGGCTGGGCCCTGGAGGGTCGGGGAGGTGGGGGTTGGGGCCCGGGTGCTGCAGTCCGTAAGGCTCACTAGGAGCACAGGCCAGACTCCGAGGGTGCAGGGCAGGCATGCAGCACAGCTGCCGAGCGCTCTAGGGGAGGAGGAAGGAAATCCACAGACACTTCCTGGAAGAGGTTTGCTGATTTTAAAGACCTGCTGGATTCTGGTCAGGAGCCATTGGCAGCAGCGTGGGCCAAGGCTCAGGGCCAGGAAAATGCTGGAGCCCGAGGGGAGAAGAGCCTGGCTCTGGGGTGGCACAGCGCATAGGAGCAGTATGCTCAGGGGAGGCTGGCAGCATGACCAGGGAGAAGCAGATGGGTACTGGGGCCCTGACGCAGGCCTCAGCCAGGAGGCCATGTACAATGGTGGGCAGTAGTGTTCAGTGAGCTGAATCTAACTCGCTCCACCAGCACCCACAAAGTTTGGGTTGGAATTGGACCCTTAACCTGGGACAAATACAGAAACACTGTTTGTTCAGCGCTTACATTACATAAAATTTTATCTCTTCTAAAAATATTGATTTAATCTACAGATCTTTGTGCTTGCAGGGAGCCATGGCTGGAAAAACCTGGCTTCTGGAGCCCCCACACCTCTCCTGTTGTACCCTGTGAGAGCTCCACGTGGAAAGGCCATGAGGGGTCCCCAGATGGGGAAGAGGCACCAGCCCGGCTCAAGGCTCTGAGAGTGATGCCTAGTGGTCTGGACAGTGCTGCCCAATTTTGTACTCTGACAAAGTCAGCCCAGAAAAAGCCAGAGATAGGCGAGAGCTCTGCCACCCCCACACAGGCAGACAGGGGCCTGGGAAGCGGGTGGCTGGGAGGCCAGGCAGCCTTGGCAGATCCCGCCCTGGCTGGGCATCTGCACTTCCCAGTAGGCATGGCAGCAGATGCTGCCAGGTGGAGCCTTGATGCGGGGAGCTGTCTTGTAGCACGAGTGGGATCCCCCAACATAGGCAGTACCTCAAGCAAGCTGTCACCCACAAGGGCCACGAGCAGCGGGTGTCCTTGTCGTTCACGCACCAGGGCGGCATTCTCAGAGGCATACATGGAAGTGAAGTCAAACATGGCCACATCGGGCTGCCCGTAGTGGTTCATGGCAAAGTCTAAGGATGGCAGCTGGTAGTTGGTGGCGAAGTCTGCAGCTTCCCGGGCGTAGGACAGCAGGTTGTCCTGGTTCACGTTCTCTGCACACAGCAGCATCTCCGTGTCGATGTAGTCCTGGGGAGACCGAAAAACGGAACGGCAATCTGACCCTTGAAGGGGCTAGCATGCACAGCCACTGTTAGGCAAAAGGGCTCGGAACGGGTCTATGCAGAGAGACTAATCAAAGCAGAAACAGAAAACCAGAGCCAAGAGGACAGAGAGAAAAAGCAAATGAGCCTGTTGTGCGGGTTAACACAGCTGTGACTGGGCATCAAATTTGGCATCGGGCTTCCGGGCGTCCATGGCAAAAGGGAAACGTGATATGCTACAGGCCCTTCCTTATCAGAAAGAAGGAAGCATGGCAGTTCCTCCCAATCTTTTCCTGGCACTAAATTCTAAAAGATTTGTCTCACTGGGAATTTCAACAGAGAAAAAGAGGGTTATCATGAACAGCGTTCTTTACAATAGTCTTGCAACTAAGGAGGAGCACACTGGGCATGGCTGGCTCTCGTGATAACTTCTAATATGATTAGAAGACAAAAGAACAAGTTAGTAAGTGTGACTGAATAACAGATGGAGTTCAGTTCATGTGGCCCAGATGCGCTGTGCTCAGCAGCCAAACAAGACCAGAAAAAGCAACAGAGATGTTTGACACAACTCTCACTTTTTTTTTTTCAGATTCAGTTACTCCTTTTCCGGTGTGGCTGAAAGCTATGAACAGCTTGGTTTTGCTGTTAGGGAGTGCCCTGTTCTATCCGCCTGCTGGGGTGGAAACCCTAACTAAGGAATCCATTGCGTTGATGTCCCAAGCATGTCAGACAGGAAAAGTTAGTCTAGGATTGATCTGCTCAGGGTCTAGTCATCACATGGTTAAAGAAGCTAAAGGGCCACATTTCCCAAAGGTGACACAAATAGTGCACACACCTTGGTGGGGATGAAGACTGGGGTGCAAGGTGAACCCAGCCTTCATGGGTCAGCCAGTGCGCTGTTCAATTTCCAACCCAACCACTCACTAGCTGTAAGTTTTGTGAGCTGTTTGACTTAGTTCTGAGTCTATTTTCTTTCTCATATAATGGGGACAATAAAATGCCCTTCAGAGCCAGAGGGCTGTGTGACACTGTACACATGACACCGCTAAGCCCCATCCATGCCTGGCATGCGGGATGAGCTCAGGGAGTGAGAATGCCTGTCCCAGGAATTCATGGTGGCATAGAAGGTGTCACAGCAAAGGGTCACAGGGACCCACCAAGGTGTCAGTCAGGCACAACCTGATCTATACCTGATGACCTCTTCTCTGAGTTTTCTGACTTCAAATGCATTGTTTGGGAAAATCTAATATTACACACACACACACACACACACACACACACACACACAGAGTGTACCCAGCATCAGCCCAGAAGCCCCAGGTCAGGATGGGCTTTCTGTTAGGTGGTTTCCCTTCTGGTACCTGTTCCTAGAGTCACATGATCATGGGTGTCCCTTCAAAGTGTGGCGATGAGATGGGGGAGGAACAAATGGAGAGCTCACACATGTCCCCTCCCTGCAACAGGCCCCGGCCCCTCTAGAGGGGACCAGGTGAGCTGTGCGTATAAGCTACACAGTGAAGACAGTCTGTGTGGACACCCCAAGCAGGAGTTCAGAGACTTGGTGGGGAACACAGACCTCCTGGCTGGATGAAGCTGAGCAAGAACCTGCCCTGGGCTGCCGTACCGGGAGCCTCAGGCAGGTGGGTGATGGCGGAAGGAGCGGGACCTCTGAGGGAGGTGGGAACAAGCATGAGGTGCTGTGGGCTCTCTCTCAAGGGAGAAGGGGAGGCTGGGAGTGGATCCCAGGTAGGGCTGTGCACCCAGCTCTTCCAAGGGAGGATGGGAGCAGAACAAGTCATCCTCATTCACCGTGCCAGGGAGAGCCTGAGACGGTATGCGGACAGGCTGTGACAGCTTCCCAGGTGTCAAGGTGCCATAGCGTGTCATGGCTGATGTGATCTCAACGGGACTTTAGCATCCCAGCCGGCTGCAGAACTTGGCCAGTGGATTACAATACCCATGTCTCCCTTTGCCTAACTTCCCGGGTCCTCCTCTGCAAAGGCATGCATTTTAGTGACAGCCCTGTGCCCTGGGATGGCCTTGTCCTATCCAATACAGCTCTCGAATGTGAGGACAACCTAGAGGGGGACTTCTGGGGGCACAGGGAAGACACGTTGCTGCTTCCCAGACTGACAGCTGGAAGCAGGCTCAAGTCTGAGCTCAGAGCCCACAGTTGGGCGGCCAGGCTCCGCCAGTTCTAGGGGAGTGGCTGCGGCCTCTGGCCACAGCTCACATCAAAGCAAAGACCTGAGCCCCTGGGGAGGAGGCTCAGGGGAAGAAGGCTGGATTACTGACCCACCCTGGCGGCTGCCAGCACAAGCTAGTTTTGTTTTGTTTTTTTGCAGAACCGGGGATTGAACTCAGGCCCTTGCGCTTGCCAGGGAAGCGCTTATTCTACTGAGCCATCTCCCCGGCCCCCAGCAGAGGCTAGTGAGAAGACACGCAGGCACATGCTTCCCTGAGAAGCAGCAGGGATGGCCCCGAGCTGCCCGGGCAGGAGGCCTGCACCTCGAGCACTGGCCCGGGGTGCGTGGTCCCTGTTGTGAGGATGCAGCTGCAGCATGAGAACAGAGCTCTGCCGGGGCCTAAGCCTGACTGCACGCTGCCAGCCCGGGGACCGACACTCCGCAGACCTCTGCCTCCCCACCCAGGGCTCTGCTTACACCAGAAGATGCGGAACCACAAACCAGAAGCCAAGAAGTCACAGCACACACACATAGGTATCCAAATACAGCCAAAGTGGCAGACGGCATCTCCACACCCTCCACAGGCCAGGCTGTGAGATTCGCTCTGGCTCTGTGCGCACAAGCATTTATATGTCCTCCTCAAAAATACTTCCGGACAAGAACCGTCATTCCCATGTGGCAGATGTAAAGACTGAGGTGCAGAACAATTCTAAACAGCCTGCCCAGAATCCCGAGTCTGTATGTGGCAGAGCCTTGCTTCTGTGCACACATTTGTGACTACATCAGTAGTGACCTCCCCTGCATCATGACAAGGGGACCCAGTGAGACACTTCCAAGTAGGTCCCAGCGTGGCAAGGAGCCCCCACCTGTCTCCAAGTGCCACATGGCCTTGCAGAGAAGGGGCAGGGCTGAGGGAGACTTTCAGAAGGCAAAGGCTCAGCAGATCCACATGACCAGGGTGTTGCAGACCTCTGAAGAAACTCCCACAGGCTTGTAGTGAGCCAGCGAGCAAGTGGCCCGTCCCCCCTCCTCCCTGCTCACCAGGACGATGTCCTCTCCCACACCTGCTGATGCTGCCAGCCCCGGGCGCAAAGCAAAAGACAGTGGAGCGGCCACAGCCGAGAAGTACGTACATTCATGATGACACCTTTGTCGAGCAGGCTCTGCTTCTTGGCGGTCATGACGAAGTAGTGGGTGCAGTCCTTATAGTAAACGATGTTTTCTAGATCAATCCCTGAAGAGAGAACCATGCGCAGGCTCAGTCAACTTCCCAAGTGCCCACCACGTACCAGGAGCAGGGCCCTGCTTCATTACACTTATTTACTTGTGCATTATTTATTTGTGCTGTATTCACATGAGGCTAAAGTTAAAGACACACAGCGCAGTGTTGGGGAAGAGAATGCAGAGGCCAGAAGTTACCTGTGTCAGAGCAGCTAGCTGTTACACTCACAGGAAAACAGCATTTCTTCTAAAACTCATATCATAGATGTCTAGAGGGCTCAGTGGCCCAGCGCTGGGTAAGAAGTAGTACGGAAGGCCAGGAGCTGGCCATGGTTATGGCCATGGTAGCTAAGCAGTGACACAGCAGAATTAGAATCCAAGCCTGGATGGCTACAAGTCCCACCAACGGTGTCTGCCCAGTGGTCAGAACTGCAGGAGGCTGTGGGCATCCTGCATCTCCCTGCTTGTCACGAGAACCCAGGTGTTCTGGTAGGAATGGCCCATGTCAGAGGCCTGGGTTGTGTCTCGCACTTTCTACCAACTGCAAACCCTCTTATATACTAGGTTTCTCCACTTAAAACTGTGCTGTGAGATGCTTAGGGTGGTCCCTGGCTAGCTGCACCAGCTGAGCCAGAGAACTTGGCACAAAAGCAAATGAGCGCTGGGGAGGTAGCTCAGCAGCATAAGCGCCTGCCTGGCAAGCGCAAGGCCCCTAGTTTGACTCCCAGTACCTCCAAGAACAAAAGCAAATGATCAGGCCCACACTCCAGCGAGTCAAAAACTGGGGACAGGGCCAGTGGCCTGAGTTTTCACAAGCTGTCCAGGTGATAATGATGCACACTGGAGACTGAGAACCCCTGGCTTAGCTCTTTTGTCTTTTGGCAGTGCTGGGGATAGAAGCCAGGGCCCCCACACATGCAAGGCAAGCGCTCTCCCACTGAGCTAGAACCCCAGCCCTGGCCCAGATTTTTTTTTTTCATGAAACACTGTAACAAGTCCTTTACTATTTCATAAAGTCCACGAGAGAATTTGGCATAGTTTATAATGAAATTCAGAAATCTTTGCCTGTTTCCTTCCCGCCCTTCACTGTGCTGAAGAGCTGCTGAGCTCTTCCAGAGTTTTGCTGAGCCAAGTGGTTTCTGAACTGAGTGGACTCTCCAGGTAGCTGGTTCCTGCACAGGGCTTTCCTGATACTAGATCTATTATTCTGCCCACTTTGAAGACAATCTCAGCCAGTTCATGTTTCATGCACTCTGTTCGTGGAACAGTAGATCTTTGAGCAGTACAATATCTCCCACAGTGCATCGCTAAAGTCATCGTGAGCAAAGTAGGTTTTCTGCTTATTAAAATACTTCAATAAGTAGGGATCCAGAACAAGTCTGGTCACTCTCACTGTAGCAGCTTTTTGCACTGCTGTACCAGTCAGCTGCCCCACGACCCATCTGGCATGCACGGATGAACAAACTGCTGACATTCTACGGCTCTGATCACCTCAGAGTTCGACCTGGCTCAGTCTTCCTGAAGGGAAAGAAATGGATACTGGACAAGCCAGCAGCATCCTGAGCAAGGCATGCTGGGTAACCACAGGAGCGCCTTTTTACAGCTACACAGGAAGCAGCCGTGTGCAAGGGCCCCCTGGAGAATAAGAGGAAGTTGTCTGCTGTGCTGGCGAGTGTACTTCTGTGCAACAGCAGCGGGAGGTGACAACCACAGCGGCACTTAATGGAAGCTCATTCACATATCTGGAAAAACACACTCAACGTCCTGTCATAATTAATAGTTGGTGGTTTAAATATTCATTTCCTTGTATTTTGAGGGACAGGAAAGGCTAGACACCTCTTAAATGATTCTAAAAGACATAATATCCTGGAAGGAAATATTAAAATGCTTTTAAAAAAATAATGTAACTGTAAGATACCTAGAAGGGGAACAGCAAGGTCCAACAGAATTGAGGTTCTGTGAGGAATACTCATGCTAATTTCCATAAAGGTGGTACCAGTTTACACCGCCACCAATAATGGAGAAGGGCTCCTTTTTCCCTGATGAAGACATCATATTACAATGACACACACATGCCCATGTTTATAGGAGCATGACTCGGAGTAGCTAGGTCTTGGAAGCCGCTGTACACCCGTCGGTAGATGAATGGATAAAGAAAATGTGGCGTTTGCACACACGTTAGTGCTGCTCTATGAGAAAGAAGGGCCAGCGGAGGCATCTGTAGGAATATGGGTGCACCTTGTGACCATAACGTGGAGTGCAATAAATCAGACACAGGAGCTTAAATATTGCATACGGAGAAACACATAAAGAGAAAAGTGAAACACAGATCATAGGAAACAGGCAGATAGATCTTTTGCAAATGCGAAAGGGACCAAGAAATGGAGGGCCAGGGGGCACAGAGCAGAAGAAGGTGATAAAAAAGAATTGAGGTGTATTACATACATGTACCAGCTCACCACAGTGAGTGTAATCGTTATGTACTACAAAGATATACTCAGTGGGCCAGGGAGGGATATAGCTCAGCGACATAAGAGCCTGCCTGGCAAGCACAAGCTCCCAAGTTCGGTGCCTGGTACCGAAAAACAAACAAACAAACAAAGCACTAAGAAAAATACAAATTGAAAAGCAACTAAAAATAAATAAATAAATAAAAGTGCTGCTGCAGAGGAACCCAGAAGGTCATGTGATGGCGTGTGTCACTGTGGCCTGTAGGAGGCACGGGTTGGCTCAGCCACAAATCCCAGTCCTAGCAAATGAACCTAGGGAGAGGAGAGCCCACAGAAGGAATTTCACCCCTAAAAGTAACACAAGTAATACAAGGTCTAAATCACAGGTCAGCAGGGTTTCTTTCCTAAAAGGCCAGATACTAGCAAGCATTTTGGCTTCATGGGCTGTGTGGTTTCTGTCATAAGCACTTGTGCGGGAGTCAGCCATGGACAACAGCGTACATAAAGGGGCCTGGCTGTGTTATGCCAATCTGTATTTATGGACACTGAAGTGTGAATTTCATATAATTTCCACGCATCACAAAATATTATCCTTTTGATTTTTTTCTTCAGTTCTTTAAAAACAAACAAGCATTCCTCACAATATACGTGGCCAGCCACATGTTTGCCACCTCCTGTCTGAAATATTTAGGTAGGCTTACAAACTTGACGACGTATCCTGAGGCTTCCAATAGTGACCAGGAAGAGGATTATGTTTAAAATGTGATGTTAAATGAGCAAACGAGAAATGTGGATGGAATGTAACACGTAGTCGCATGGCAGCCAAGCACTTGGGAGGCTGAGGCAGGAAGATCCTTGAGTTCAAGACCAGCTACAAACTGAGCTCAAGGCCAACCTGAACTCCATGACGAGACCTTGTCTCAAAAAAGGAAAACAAACAAACAACAGCAAAAACATGTGATGCTGAATGAACAAAGCAGAGGAGTGAAGAATACAGGGACTAGGACTAGTGATAGAACCTTAAAAAAGTAAATGTGCACAGGCCGGGAAGACAGCTCAGTGGCATAAGTGCATGACTGGCATGCACAAGGTCCTGAGTTCAATCCCCAGTACCACAAAAAAAGAGATTAAAAAGTAAGTGTGCAGGTGAGAAGTTACTGAAGAGGATTATATAACCATGAAGACTATTCTGCACTGGAAGGTCAGACAGGGCAATTTCTTTCCAGCATAAAAGTTGTATCCACCCTGCCTTTTCGAGGAAAAAATACACATTTCAGTAAGGTTAAAAACGAACAGAATCTGGAATTCACTCAAATGGCAACAGGTTGATTCATGCCTCTCCCTTCACCCTGCTTTGCTTTCTTTCGTCATCTTTGTCACCATCAGCTGCATCACTGGTTCACCCACTTCTTGGTCACCTGCCCCCAAAGGACATAAGGCCCCAGAGCGAGGGATTCTGTTACATTCACTTCTCCAGCCCAGGCCCGAGGTCAGCATTTGACATACAGGAAGCATTCAAATTCTGTTATTAGACAGAATTTTTTTAAGTAGGATTATTAGACTGGCGCAGGGGATGAATCAGTGGCCTCCGCCCTCTTGGGTCATGGCAGATAACAATCGCTGGCATGGTGCTCCTCCCTAGAGGTCCCTCGCCGGGAGGCGCAGCTGACACAGGACATTGAAGCACCTAGGCTTCTTCGGCCACCGCGCACTGGTTGCTGGCTCCCTTCTCAGGGAGCTGCCTGAACCCCACACTGACCCCAGGCACACCCGGCCACCCTGCCTTGGGGCCTACATGTGGGTGTCCTGCCCAGACAGAGAGCTGGTTCAGATGGACCCCATCAACCCTGACCTTGCCCCCCTTAATCCTGAGCACCAGCGTACAATGGACACTCGGTAAATGTCTATTGAAGAAATCAATTCTTATTTTCTCTGTTTGTTATCTATTTTCATGTGCAATATCCAGAAGGTTCTCTCAAGAGTCTCTCTCCTCCTTTGAAGGAACCCCTCCCACCTGAAGGAGAAATGTGCTTCCACACGCTTGCATCCTGGAGCCCGGAAGCCAGCACTCCCTTCTGTGCGTGCTAAAAAAAGCATAGAAAAGGGCCGGCTTGCGGAAGTGGAAGGCTCACCTGTTTCTTCTTTCAGGTCCTGAAAAAATTTCTGATTGAAGATGAAGGCCACCCCGCTAATCTCTTCCACCTTGGCCTCGGCCGTGCTGTTCCTGTTGATGAAGTTGGCGGTGATGGCGATGGCCAGCTTCCCGCGGAATTCCTTCCTCCTGAACCCTGTGTGAGGAAAAGGACCGATGAGCCCACCTCCTGGCTCTGGTGTCAACCCTGAAGCAGGATGGAGACAGCTACTCATGGTGCCTGGTGGCCAGGGGCACCAGAATTCTGGGCCCGAGAGAGCAGGAACGGGCGGAATTTGCAGGCGTGTTCCCAGGCAGGGTGGGTGTCATCAGTGACTTTCGAAGTCAATGGGATTCTGCCCTCTTCCAAATTCTGCTGGACCAGACCCCTCAACAGGCACTGACAAATGAATGGCTGAAGTGACCTTCTCCACAGAGAGTCGCAGGGCTCAGCCTCCTACTCGGGTGAGGACACACGCGGGGAGCCACAGCACTGGCAACTGCACGGCTCTCACACTTTGCTAGTAATTTTCATGTTTTTTTTTTTTTTTTTAAAGTAGGATTATTAGACAGAATTCGCACAGGTCAGGGATTTTTGACACATTTTCTGTATCTCTCCATTGGTCGTGGGTTGTGTGCTGTGTCTCTAACCACACACTCACACGCTGATGACTTCGGTCTCTGTACCTCGGTCGCAGGATCAGTGAGTCCTTACTGGGCAGCAGCATCACTGTGGAGCCCATGAGTTAAGCCTGCAGTTCTACCTCAGTGAGGGGACCTGCTCTCCCTTGACTGGTGTTCTCATACACAGGGGAGGTGGGACCCAGACGCGTGCAGGAGGAGACGGTCGCATGACCAGGGAGGCTCAGACTGGGGGATGTTCTAAGAGCCAAGGAACACTCAAGGTTGCAGCAAACACCAGGCGCTAGGAGAGAGGCAGGGACCATTCTTCACGGATCTCAGGAAGAACCAAGCCTGGGAGAGCCTGAGCGTGGGCTCCTGGCCCCAAGGACTAGGAGGCCGTACTTGCCCGCTGTCCAAGCCGCCCAGCCTGCCGTGCTTTGTCAGGGCAGCCCCAGGAAACCAATGCACTCACTGCACTGATTGCTCTCAGCTTATGGCCTAGAGTGTGGCACTTCGGTGCAAGCGCATATTAAGTGATGACCAAATTATAGCAATCAGCACATCACTGCCTGAGCAGTCATCATTTCCTTAGGGCAGGACTGCTCAAACTCCCCTCTTCCATGCATCTGAGTTGCACATCACATTATTGTCAGCAAGGGCCGCTGCGGAGCACCGGGGAAACAGGGCTTCTGCTCGGGGTTACTGGTTTCCATGAGCATCTTGTGGGATGGTGGTGACACAGCAGATGACAGCAGGTGGCCACATTTCAATAGCATCTCCTCCTCCTCCTCCTCCCCTTTCCCCTCCTCCTCTCTTTGTCCATCTGAGGTTTCCTTCAGTCCTGAATTTCCGCCTGCCATAGGCATGCTGCTCACTGCACTGACCCCAGGCGCTCACTGCTGTGGTCTGACTGTGTGTCCCCAAGTCCATGTGCTGGAATCTTAATCCCCACATTCACACATGGATGCAATTTGGAGATAGAGCCTTTGGGAGGTGATTGGATCATAAGGGCTCCACCCTCAGAAGTGAATGAATCCATCCATGAATTAATGGATTAACAGACAGGTGATCCTGGCAGTGGTTTTGTTACAAACTTGCTAGGTCATGCCATGTCCTCTGCCATATTTTGATGGAGCAAGAAGGCTCTCATCAGATGTCAGGACTGTGCTCTTGGGCTTTGCAGCCTCCAAAACATGAGCTTAATAAGAATCTATTCTCAATAAATTATCCAGCCTCAAGTATTTTGTTATAGTAACATAGAACAGATGAAGGCACTATGTTCATCATATAGGTAGAGACTTATTGGACAGACAAACATAATTCTCACCATGAGGAAATGCTCTCTGTCCAAAATTTCTTTGATGAAAACCTTGGGTAAGTGACTAGGTTCATGGGTTCATCCACTGATGAGTTCTGTAGCTACAGGTGTTGTCAAGGTCCTGGTTGGAGGTCACTGGGGTGCGACCTGGAAGGGTGCATTCCTGTCCCTGGTTTCTCCTTTCTCTCTCCACTTCCTGGTGTCTCCTGCTACTATACCCTTGCACTGTGCTGATCTCCCCTTGCAGCCAGCCAGTCCTAGACCGAACCCCTGACTGTGAGCCAAAGTAAACCTCTCCTCCAGGTTGCGAGTGTCAGGTGTTTTGTACCAGCAATGGGAAAACCAACTTACACTGAACCTTTCCTTCAAACTATTCTTCATTATGGCTTTGTCAAGGTATCAGAAATGGCCATCCTTCTCTAATCTAGTATTCCTCAACTGGGGGTGATTTTGTCTCCCAGAGTGTACTTGCAATGTGTGGAGAAATTTCTGGTGGGTGCTACCAGAATCCACTGGGTAGAGGGGAGAGGTGCTGCTAAGCATCAGGGCAAAGAATGATAGCTCCAGGTCAAGAACTGTGTGGGCCTAAAGGTCAACCACACGAATACCGAGCCTTTCCACCCTGATCCTCCTGTCTGGTGCCAAGGTCCTTAGGTGGTTCTATTTTCCCCTACTCTTCATGTTCCTAAAACGCTCAAGCTGAGCACAGATCCTTAATCTTCAGACACACGTTTTTATCAAGTCATCATAATGACCCCACTATTCTAAGAGGGAGACATCCAGGTTGGCAGCTTAGAAGAGCCATGGGTCCAGCAAGAGGCACTGGACGTATGGTGGATATGAGGGGCTTGAGCTCAAAGAAGCGGATCTCCCAAGCTCCTGAGCTCAGCCCAGCTTCAGGGCTATGTTCTGTCCTCAGAGAAGATAACCCTGCCAGGCCCAGCTATCTGCAGCTGTGGCCACTGGAGGGCAAGCTCCCAGAGCTGCAGAATTGTCCTGAGCCCAAGAGATGCTACCAGGACTATGTTGTTTGCAATCTGTGGTCTCATTAGTACCACTAGTATGGATGAGTACAAAATGTGGCCTAATTAATCCAGGGCTGGGGTGGAACAGTCTGGCATGTTTCCTGTCAGTGGGGGTTCCACTTGCCCTGACTTGAAAGCCTGAGGCTTTGTATCCCAGCCGACTGTCAGCTTATCCAATTGCTAAGCAGCAAGTGTGCCTACGAGCTATAAAAGGAGAGGGGCTCCTTCCCTTCGTTGTGTATCTGAACGTGGATGAATGCCATTAATAGCGTGGAGTGTTTCTCTTAGATGAAATAAGCAGGGACGCGCTCAGCACCTGGCTGGCTCATAGGCAGGAGCTCAAGTGTGTTTAGTTTTGCCACAGAACTGGACTTTTATAAAGTATCTTACACACCAGTGATTCCCAGGCCTCATGGCAGCCCTGTAAGGGCTTTGTCCCCATTTTACAGATGAGACAAATGAGGTCTGGAGAGAAGGGCTTGGCTATCTTCTACACCCTGAATTTCCCAGGAGGATGGGGCATTCAGCCTCGGCCAGGGCAGGACAGCCTTCCGTGCCTTCAAGAGCCCCTCAGGTGTTGGCACCTGCCATCCTTCTGCACTTCTCCAGCCCTGCTGCCCAGCCCCACCACCCCATCACCATCCCGAGAAGCAGGGCCTTTACCTTCCAGGGTGTTCCTGCGGCCGTCAGCACCAATGATGACATCAAACTCAAACTCCGACAGGGGGTGGTCTGTGGGGAGGAACTCTGCTCTCCAGCCAATTTCTAGGAGGACAGAAGGAGGGCGTGAGTTGACGGAGAGAGGAGCCATGACAAATGGGCAGACAGTGCACCCAGGCTGAGCCCCAGGAAGACAAGCCAGGCTCCTGGTGCTGAGAAAAAGTTCAATCAGGACAAAGTAAACAAGCTACATCAGCCCTGTAGCCAGTTTTACTGACCTTTGCTGGGAATCTGGGGTTTTTTTTTTTGTATTTGGCACGGGGTCTCATCATGAAGCTCAGACTCATAGTGATCCTCCTGTCTTCAGCCTCACCAGCCCTGGGATTATAGGTGTGCACCACCATGTCTGGTCTCAGTGGCTGGTTCAGCGCACCCAGAGGTGGGGCTGGTGCAGCATGTGGTGCTGGGGATTGAACTCCTGTCCCCCCCGCTTGCCTAAGCAGGTGCTGGCTATCTCGCCGGCCCTGGGCATCTGTTCTTAATGGCTCCTCAGCTGCCTCCCTCGCACCATGCCTTTCTCGCCGGAGTCTACCGAGCTCTCTGCATCTTCCCTAGGATTCCTCAATGCCTGCCACTGACGAACAGACCCCAGGGGTGTGCAGGGTGTCACAAAACAACTTGGATTATCCACTGCTTCTAGCTTAAAATGTTCTGTTGCACAGTGCACTGCCTTTCAAAGGGACATCTGCAGGTGAGGCCAGCCAGCTGCCCGGAGTCCAGGTGGGGCATGCAGGGCAGGTGCAGCAATGGGGAGGAGCACACAAGTCCCTGGGGCCAGGCAAGGATGCTGTCTTTCTACAGGAGTCTGAAAAGCTCCCTGAACTCCCAGACATGTGGGGTAGAGGCCAGGAGGGGCAGAGGTGTTGCCATAAGCAGGAAACTACAAGGACTCTCGTGTTAAACTGACTCAAAACTCAGATCCTTGCCCAGGCAGTGGAAGACACTGGCCTTAAGGAAGCTGCCAAGATCAATGACCAGACTCTGACCCTGGTGTGTGTAGAGGATTCCAATTTAAATAAACACACAAGAGGGAAAAGAGAAACATTACTTGATAGGACGTACCTCTATGGGTGGTTTTATGATTTATAAATTACATTTCTGTCTCTTTTTTTTTTGGCTGACTCAGTCCACCCTGAGGGCAGGGCTGGCGCAGCATGTGGTGCTGGGGATCGAACCGTGGTCCCCTGAGCCTGCCTAAGCTTGCCTAAGCAGGAGCTTTAGACTGCTGAGCTACCTTGCCGGCCTTATAAATTAAATTTCAATACAGTTATATGGTATATGCCCTGAAATATCGAGAACTTTCATTTCATAGTTACTCTAGAAGTTTTATTTCCTTTGCCGGATTTTAAATTATTTTATAGGTGCAACAGGGAACTCATGTCCACGTGGGTTGAAGTGCAAATAAATCAAATTTATCCAAACCACCAAATCTTTGTCTTCTTCCCTATTATTGCCTTAATTTGTCAACGCAGCATCTCATGGGAGCAGGGTAACCCAATTATAGGTTTTATGACTTAACAGCAAGTCTTGTGGAAGTTGAAGAGCAAAGCTAAAGTGACCGCAATGGTCAAAAAGGTAAACTACCCTTGGACGGAATTATGCCAAGTGGCTTCTGATAAAAATAGCTTGCAGAAACATCTGCTGGGAACTGCACATGTCACTTCCGGTTTGCCACATGGGGCTTTGAGACAGAAAAGGAACAGCATGCATTACTTTGATTTTCTTGATCTTCAGGGGGCTCGAGGACCTTCACAAACTCCACGTTCACATGGATTTCAACTCCCAGCATCAGGGCCACCTTGAATAGGATGAGCTGTAGTTGCCGAATACCTGTTAGAAGGAGGGAGAAGAGAGGTGACTGATGGGAGCTCCTCCTGCTTGTAGAACACCATACGCCCTCTGCTCAGGGATTTGCAGCACAGCAATGCAACAGCAATACTGAGCGTGGGCTGAGCACTCTGTGTGTTCTCTTTTAACCTTACAGGGACCCTTAGGGAGCGCTGTTATTTTCAGCTTGCAGATGGAAAATGAAGGTTTTACAAGGTTAATTGACTTGTTCAATGTCAGAGGCAAAACCAGACTGTGGGATTGGACAGCCAGCCCTTCCTGAGAGGGTCAACAGTGTCACGTGGAGGCAGGCTCTGTCTTCCCCACTTCTCTTGAACTGGCTCTGGGTTTTGTAAGATAAAGGTGAAAAGAGAGCAGAGCAAAAGCCAGAGAGGGAAGGAGGAAGGAGGGAGGAAGGGAGAGAGAGAGAGAGAGAGAGAGAGGAAGAAGAAGGGAGGGAGACAGCAAGGTACTGTTAGTGATCGATGGCCTCTGTACTCACATCTTACGCTTTAGCTCTTTCCCCAAATGGCACAAGGTGGAGTGGGAAATTGCACACACAGAGCTGGACTCACAGGTCTTCCCCGCTTCTGCTCACTCTTCCAAACTCTCCCACTAAGCACGACCTCACCCCTCTATGGGGGCGCCTGGCATTCAGCACACAAGGGCATCCCTCAAACATTCCTCTGCAGGGTGAGGAGCTGGAGGCTTTGGTGGGCCCCTGGGCATTTAGTGGGTGCAGTGGTTGATACCCTGTTCCACTTTGAGAAGTTTAAGGACGGGCCTCCACAGGGAGCCAGAGTCCCACCTTTGTAAGCATCCTCACCCTGCGTAGGAGGAGGGGATGGAGACTGTGTGCTACACCTGCCCTAGGGAGTGGAGCAGCCTGCTTACAATATAAGAGAGGAAAAAGTCTTGCTCTTCTTTCCCCCTTCTGCTCTTGTTGCTGTTGCTGTCTTCTGCCGCCATGAAGTGTTACCCCTCAGCCACGTGCCGTTCTGCTTTGGAGCCAGCTGATTATGGACTGAAACCTCCACAAACGGGGAGCTAAATACACTTTTCCCCCCTTAACTGTAGTAGGGTGTTGGGTATTTTGCCTTGACAATGAGAGGAAGTAACTGAGACAGTGGGTCCAGGTTCCGTAGTATTTACAGCATCTACAGTGGGCCAGGTGCTGTGTTCAACACAAGGGATAGGGAGACCTCGTGGAGGTGATGCTGGTAACCCAGTGGGGCAGGCATGGTGGCTGGGGTGGTGGTGGAGGCAGAACAAGGCCTGAACCAGGGTCCTGGAGGCCAAGAGAGGAGGAAGCAAGAGTGTCGGATCCTGTAGAGAAATAGAGGCCTGTAAAGCTACAGGAGGCTGGGGCACCTGGGAGCTAAGAAGCTTCTGGAAACTGGAGTGAAACTCTTTGGGGTGAGGGTAGGGTGGAACTGAGCTGCTAGTG